GGGAGGACCGGCCGGGAGCCAGGCCGCCGGGCAGGAGGGCCGCGCCAGGGCTCCGGGGACCTGGATCCGCCGTGTGGGCTGCGGACACCCAGGACGCACACTTACTGTGACACCAGAGGAGACTCACGATCCGCACCGCGAGCTCCCCTCCGCGCCACGTGCTTCCTGCTCTGAGCAGACAGAAAGAGGGCGGACATAAGGGGCGGAGCAAAAAGGGAGGGGAATGTGATCTGGGGGAGGGGCCTTAAGGGGTGGGGCGAGGGACGAGACTGGCCTGGACAGGATAGGACGAGAGGGCGAGAAGGGGCGGGGCAGTCCAAGGCCAGAGACCGAGTGGGCGTGGTCTTCCTGGATTGACAGTGACAGAGGGGGTGGAGCCGGGGGAGACTCCAGGCCTATGAGGAGGCTGCTAAAGGGAGGCCAGGGTACTGAGAGGAGGCGAGGTTCTGGGGGCGGAGTCAGGGCGCTGAGGGGCGTGTCCACGACTCTGAAGAGGGGGGGCTGACTCTGGGGGGCGGGGTCCCGGTGCTGAGCAGCTCCACTTGGGGCTATTTCTGAGAAGTTCATTGCACATAAGAGTCTCACAGACTTTCTTGCATGGGCTGGCTTCGAATTGCGACCTCAGATCTCAGTCTCCTGAGTAGAGAGGAGTCCGGGTGTGAGCCACCTGCGCCCGCCTGAACTGACGTCTTCACTGCTGCATCGATTCACAGAATAAGACCCAAAGTGTGGATACCAAACCCGGTGTTTGGAGAAAATCCTTCCGTGGAACAGCATCGCGGTTGCTCTTGAAGATAAAATGTGACTCCATCCAATCAAGCATTGAAAAAATATCCCCGATCCAGGGCGCCAAGACGGTGCAAATATCCAGGAGGATGACAGCGCGACAGAGCGGTTGTGCTGGGTAACTGAGGCCTCGGGGTCTTGGCCTCACGTGCACATTGAGATCCTGAGACAGTGGCTCACACGCCTTTCTAGTCCCACAGTGTGCATGTGTGTAAAGGGACAATTTCTGGTCATCTTGGGTTCAGATGCCGAAGAGAAGAGCAGATAACACCGGTGCCTGGCGCCGTTAGTCCTTGTTGCTCTGGAGGCCGAGATCTGAGGATCTGGGTTCAAAGCCAGCCCAGGTAGGAAAGTCCATGAGACTCAGGAAGTTATGGTCTCGGCTGGTGAGCTCAGAGGTGTGAGAGCCCAAAAATCCAAGCCGTGAGACCCCGAAAGGATTGGGGTTTGGAATGCCTCCTCCCCATACACTCTGGGAACGCGGAGAGTTTTCCTGGAAAGGTCAATCAGTCCTGGCTTATTAACCAGAACTCAAATTCCACCGAAAACTAAGGGTAGACTTAGCCTAAGGGTCGACTTAGGTGATGCAAATTGTGAACTGTTTACCCTTTAGCTCTCCTTCCCAGAATGAGAAGGTCACCTTCCACCTGCATAGAAAATATTGTCACCAGTTGAAGTTTGTACCTTACTTCCTCGCACAAGACCAATAAAAACCTTGGTTAATAGGACCTTGGGATCTGTTGCCAGTGGAAGGCTACAGGTCCCCTGGTACCCCAAATCTCAGTGTGGGGTCGGGTCTCCGTTATTGTGTTGCTCCTGGTCACTGGGGATTAAGGAGCACAGGGTGGTTGTGATCAGAGGAGCTGCCACCTGCTCAATCCGCAGTGTTGATTGCAGACAGGTCCACCATCCACCTACTGGGGTTGCTCAAACCACACACAAGCCGGACACCAGTGCCTTGCGCCTGTAATCCTAGCTATTCAAGAAGCTAAGATCTGAGGATCTGGATTCAAAATTAGCCCAGGCAGGAAAGTCTGTGAAACTCAACTCTAATGAACAATCAGAAAACCAGAAATGGAGCTGTGGCTCATAGTGATAAATGCTAGCCTTGAGGGGAAAAGCTCAGACACAGGGCTAGGCCCTGAGTTCAAGCCCTATAGCTAATAAAAAAAAAGTAAAAATAAAAGTTTAGAGAATTGAGGAACTAAAATGCCGATCATGAATCGTGTATTATTCTGTTCATCCCTGTGGTAACACACAAACTATGCTCTTGTGTGTATTTCTCTGCAGCAGACATCTCCATTACAATGAGGGAAAATCACAGGGACAGCTGTTCCAGGCTGTGGTGACCCTACTTGGGTGGGGTGGGGAGGATCTGACCTCTTTCTCCACTGCACCTGCCCACTATCTCGACCTGACTCGCAGGTCACTTTTGTTTTATACCCTGTGATTTCATTTTATATTATTAAAAACAATTTTAAGCTGGGTGCCAGTGGCTCACGCCTGTCATCCTAGCTGCTCAGGAGGCTGACATCTGAGGATCGTGGTTCAAAGCCAGCCTGGGCAGGAAAGCCCATGAGACTCTTATCTCCAATAAACCACTAGAAAACCGGAAGTGTCACTGTGGCTCAAGTGGTAGAGTGCTCACCTTGAGCTGAAGAGTGCAGGGACAGCGCCCAGGCCCAGAGTTCAAGCCCCACAACCAACCAAAAAAAATTTTTTTTTAATTGTTGTTATGAAGGTGATATACAATAGAGTTACAATTACATAAGTCAGGGAAGGAATACATTTCTTTTTGGACAATTTCACCCTTTCCCTCGCTCTCCCCAGATTTTGCCTCCTGTCCCCACCCAACAGTTAGTTCTAGACTTCATTTTCCACATAGTATGCAGTGAGGACCACTGCTACCTTTATTCACCCTGTGTCCCTCCATTTCTGTGCCTCTCCTTACTCTCCCAACGACAGATAAACAAGTGGAACAAAAAGAAAAGAAAACAAACAGCAAAAAAAAAAATCTCATGTTTTCTTTTCCTGGAGTTCCTTTCAGTAAATATTATTTCATATGCTCACATTCTCATAGGCATTGCGCTTTCTGTTTTCCTGAGAGTCTCCTCTTTTGGTCTTGCTGAGTGTAAATGCATAGAGACCTGTGCAATTTACCATTTGCCCATGCATTTTAGATCTAACTTCTACATATGAAAGAAAACATGCTGTTTGTCTCTCTAGGCTTGGCTTACCTCAATTAACATGATTTGTTCTAGGTCCATCCATTTCCCTACAAATCATTGTCTATCATTTCTTAACTTCGCTCTCCCTAAGTTTCCATTGATGTAAAAATAATTATTCCAT